CTAAATATGGATACTATTAAGGAGCTCTGATAGCATAATGGGTTACGCATTGGGCTGCTAATCTTAAGGTCAGCAGTTCAAATCTATCAGCTGCTCTATGGTTGAAAGATTCACAGCCTTGGAAACCCTATACAGGGCCACTATGAGTCGGAACCAACTTGACTGCACATAACTCCCACCTCTATCACGGATGCTATTAACATATTACAGCTTATTTTTAAATAACTGATCTGTTAGAAATGAATCAATTCCTCCTAAATTCTAAAAAACATATGTATATGTAGTGACTATATGTTAATGGGAGTCCTGGTGTGGTACCATAAGATAAGCACTAGACAGCAGGGTCAATTTGAACCAAAAGGCCAGCCATTCAAACTCACTAGCTGCTCATCGAAAACTCTATATGGGGTCACAATGAGTCAGAACCGACTCCATGGCACATAACAACAACAATGTATGTTAATGAGTACTGCTTCTGAAAGCAGGGCAGAGAAATGTGTGACTACATAGGAATTAATGGTCCTGCTTCCTAACTGATTCAAAGCATAGAGGCCCTTATAAAAAAGATTTTTACTATTATCACCACAAATTTAATTCATAGCATCAGTTATTTTCTTTGACTGTTATATGTGCATTCCTAGCTATATACAAACTACTTTATAAGCTCTAATTGTATCTTTAGCTTTATTCCAGTGTCAAACTATCCTGGTCCCTACTCCAAATCCAAATACTATACCCTGCTTCCTATCAGATCACTTTTTCTAATTATGATTGTTACCACTTCTAGAGCCGAGGGTCTTGACTAGTCACTCACAGGCTGGATCAAGCCAAAAGACACACTTTACATGAGCGTTTAAGTGTTTTTAAGGATCCCTCATGGTGCAGTGGGTTAAGTGTGAGGCTGCTAGCCACAAGGCCAGCAGTTCAAATCCCCCAGGTCCTGCAAGGAGGAAAATGAGGCTGTCTGCTTCCGTAAAGGTTTACAATCTTGGAAACCTTAGGGAGCAGTTATATTTTTATTTGTTTACTGTTTTAAAAGTACAGGAATAAACAAAAGAAGAAATTCTAGTTTCTTTTGAATACTCTTAACATCAGGTAATCATGGGATCCTGTTTCCATAAGGTAACAATTTACTGATGTTGAAACTCCCTGCTTTTTTAGCTAGGCCTGGGCTTCTTAGGTTAACTGTGTCCCCTCAATTCCTGTACCAGTTCACTTGACCTATTTACATCACCCATCTACTCACTTTGTCATTTTGGTTTACAAACCTCATTATGGTTCCTTGTAAGCCAAAAATCAATTCCCAGGTCTTATTCATCATACTGTAACACCTATCTCATGGCTAATCCCAAACAGGCCCGCTGAGTAAATGAGTGACATGGGTCACTTTAAAACAAACAAACAAACTTCAGTCTATCACTTCCTCTGCACATCAAGCATTCCAGGTATAGACTGGTGTTTTTTTTAGATATCAGCAGTCAGAATGCTCCTTTTGTCTTATGGTGGTGGTGGTGGTTATGTGTCATGGAGTTGGTGCCAACTCATAGCGATCCTGTATAGGGTTTCCAAGACTGTAAATCTTTACAGGAGCAGAAACCTTCACCTTTGTCCTGCAGAACTACTGGTAGTTTTGAATGGCTGACCTTGAAATTAGCAGCCTGACTTGTAACCACTACACTGAGCTCCTTTTTGTCTTATAGAAAAGGTCAATTACCACATAGTATATTAGGCGGGCTGCGAGCCGCAAGGTCAGCAGTTCGAAACTACCAGCTGCTCCCGTAAAGATTTACAGCCTCGGAAACCCTGTACAGGGTCGCAATGAGTCGGTATCAACTCCACAGCACATAACAACAACAACAACAATATTAGGCCTCAAGGTTTTTCTTGACACTTCCCCCTCAGTTTTCTACCAAGTGCAGGAAAAACACCAGATAAGGAATCAAGAAGCCTAAGCCGTAGGTAAAGTTCGTGGAACAATTCCAATATCTTTTAATACCATTTTTCTTTTTATTACCTGCTGTTTATTGTTGGTAAGTGCCATCAAGTCAGTTCTGACCAGTAGCAACCCTGTATAAGATTTCCAAGGACTGGCTAGTGAGCTTGACCTGCCAACTTTGCAGTTCAAATCAACTTTGCAGTCCATCACATTAACACACAGTGCCACACCAGGACTCCAGGACTCCACTTTTATTACGTAAGCAACTGTATTTCCTTAATATGTGTTCTCAAAATTCCTCAAAAGCACTATTTTTTTCTCATAGTATTAATAACGAGCCCTGGTAGCATAGTGGGTTACAAACTGAGCTAACCAAAAGGTCAGCAGTTCAAATCTACGAGAAAAAGATGAGGCTTTCTGCTCCTGTAAACGATTTACAGCTTTAGAAACCTGATGCAGGGTCACTGTGAGTAGGAACCAGCCCCATGGCATACAATCACCACCACCACACTATTACTGAGTACCAAAAAGTACAAGGCTATAAATGTGATAGATACAACCCTAAAAAAGGCAAATGAGATGTAAGATCCCTTAATTTACTAAAATGTCTTATTAACCAAGCTCAACAGTCCATTATAGTTTTAAAAATTACAAAGTAAGCTATTTTTAAGTCTCCTGAAGAGCAAACTTCAAATTCCACAGACTAAACGGATTTCAAAACAGCAAATAAGTCTAATTAAAAACTCAACAAACCCAATCTTGATCCACACATTGGAGAATGGTTGCAAATGAACAGGTTCTGAATTCAATCAACAGCATTCTCTGGGAAGATGTCTTATGAGAAAACTCTTAACTAGTTAGTAATTTAGTTTCCATGGTGTTGTTAAGGCCGTTGAGTCAGTTCTGACTCATAGAGACCCTGTATAGGGTTTCCAAGAAGAGATTGGTGAATTTGAACTGCTGACCTTGCAGTTCAAACCGACCTTGCAGTTCAGTGCTTATCCTATAGCACCACACCATAGTTTAAGTCTTTTTCTAGGAAGATTCCATATTAAGTACACCATTTCATTAGTCCTCCTTGGTGATATCACAACTCCAAGATAAAATGAAGAACAAACGAAAAAGCAACAAGATGTCCATAGGATATAATCACAAAGTATAGACAATTATGCATAGAATAGGAATGGGAATACCCAAGTTGGCACTGGGAAACTAAGAGGACGTTTAGTTTTGTTTAAATCTCAAAACAAAACCACCCAAATTCATTTCAAGACTCAATACTTGCTGTTGTTGTTGTTGTTGTTGTTGTTATGTGCCGTGGAGTCGGCTCGGACTCATAGTGACCCTGTACAGGATTTCCAAGGCTATAAATCTTTACGGTAGCAGAAAGCCTCATCTTTCTCCTGTGTAACAGCTGGTAGTTTCGAACTGCTGTGAGATTAACAGCCCAGCTTGTAACTACTATGCTATAAGAGCTCCTTACACATATTTTGTTGTTGTTGTTGTTAGGTGCCATCAAGTTAGTACCAACTCATAGTGACCTTATGCACAGCAGAACGAAAACACTGCCCAATCCTGGGCCAACCTCACTACTGTTGCCACGCTTGAGTCCATCGATGCTGCCACTTGGCCAATCCATCTCGCTGGATTTTAGGGAAACCTAAAAATCTTATTAGGGGTTGGAAAAAACCCTCAGAAACCCTTACAAAGTTATGCAGAGGAAAGGAGAAATTCTATAGACTATATATTCAGTTAGTTACTAAATAAACATTAAGCTCCTTTCATTGCAATTGAAAGCATCCTGGTGGCACTATGGGCTAAGCATTGTAATGTTACTGCAAGGTTAGCAGAGCAAATTTACCAGACGCTCGCATGGGAAACAAATAAGGCTGTCTGCCCTATAAAGATTTACCTTCTTGGATATCCTACGGTGTTCTACTCTATCCTATAGGGGGTTGCTAGGAGTTGGAATGGACTCAAAGGCAGTGCGTTTGGTTTTTGGTTTACAACAACTAAAGACAATAATTCGGTTACAACTTTTCTTCTGTACCACTTCTCAAACTCAGTCTTTACAATTACTGCTTCAAGGACTTTGAATATCAAGAGGCTGTCCTACACTTTTTTCTATTTTTCAGCCTCAGTGCATTTTCACCTAATGTACTACATTCTGGAATACCAATTCTCCACTTTATGAAATCTTACCAATCAAGAATAAGTGCAAAGCCTGATACCCATAAGCAGTTAGCATCTGGCAATTCTGAGCTCTCCTGAAACATTCATCTCCATTTCTGTGTGCCATCAAGTCGGTTCCAACTCATTGCAACCCTGTACAAGGTTTCTGAAAAGCAGCTGGTGGGTTTAAACCACCAGCCTTGAGGTTAGCAGTCCAGTGCTTATCCTACAGTACCACAACACTCTGCCTTACTTACTGTACATTCTAGGAATCCAGCCACTTGGTTGGCTCAATGTTTGAATGAACAAATCCTGTTTTATTATCCAGAAGACTAGGTGAGGACATAAAGCTAGAATTCTCAACTGGATAAAGTCAATGGGGAAATGGGAGCCATCAGATTCAGGCTGAGTTCCTATTTTTAGGTTATTGTTGTTAAGTGTTGTGATCAGTTCCCACTCATAGTGACCCTGCATAGGGTTTCCAAGGAGTGGCTGATGGGTCTGAACCACCCACTTTGTAGTTAGCAGCCCAGTGCTTATCCTACAGTGCCACACCAGGGCTCTCCTACTTATTTAAATATGCAATTGTATATTAGACAAATGCTGACAGATCCCTACACTCAGAATTGCTTTCTATTACACATGAACACTCTTTCTGCTGACTGTGGGGTACTGAAGAATTAGGATTGCTGCAATGTCATTCTGGCTTTAGTAGCACTTGAAACTTCAAAGAAGCCCACTTTAGCATAACAGAAAACTTACCTTGTCTCTTTTCCCATAAAATTATTTCCACTAATTTAAGTAATGAGCTCTCCTTCAACATCACATACTCTGTCAAAGGATTCATAACCATCAAACAAACTTAAACAGCATAACAGTTTAAACAAACTACCTGAAAGGGTAACGATTCCCCTGGGTTGTGGCTGAAACCGCAAATATTTGTTACAAAAGTCAGGAGATTCAAGGGCCAAAAACAAAACATTGCCCAAAAAGTAGCCCGCTGTTTGGCCCACTGAATTGCAGGTAGAAGCATAGCCCACGTTCTCCCGGGATAACATTGTTAACGCCCAACCATCCACAGCGATGTCCTGAGTGGCAGCCAGGAATTCAAACAAAAAGAATGTCACAGTAAGGGCAATCACGTCGGGGGTTCTGCCATCGATATTCCCGAGCAAAAGGTCCACCTGCGTGGATAAATAGATCATGAAGAGTCCCAGTGTGTACTGTGTAGGGACAAGCCAAGATTTGCGACGACCGAAGTTTCTGAAGTAGACCGCATCAACTAACGGGGCCCAGAGCAATTTGAGACTGAAGGGCCAAAAGACAAAACTGAAGAAAGCTTGGTCTTTATAACTAACATTTTTGCTCTGCAAAATGAGTGGGATACTTCCCGCCAGGCCCAGTGGAATGCCCTGAAGCACGTAAAGAAAAAGTAGCAGCAAAATGCTACTTAGTTCAGCCCTGCAACTCTGTGGGACTTTTGAGACGTCACCAGTGCAGGGATCCCGCAGAAGAGCTTCTCTGTCCCCTTCCGCTCCCACCAAGTCCGGATGGTTGTCATCCCACACACCTGGCGGCAGAGGACCGCTCTTCATATCCAGAGACTGTGTGAAAGTCCCTGGTCGTCGTTGCCGACTACTGTCCTTGTGGGAGATGGTGGGTGACATATCAGAGACGATGCAGAGCCCTGTCTGCGGGGGACCTGGGCTGAGCGTTTTGGTTCCGTCTAGGTAGACCCAGGTCCAAGACTTGCCCTGTGGACCAAGGTCTTGGTGGTTCAGGGAAAGAGGCAAAACGCGGGGCTATAAGTGTACTCCTTAATGCGGCCCGGAGTGCTGAAGCAGCGAGCCAGTCCCCTGGCTGGAGGCCCAGGCGATGCCCGGGCAGGTGTCCCTTGGAGCAGCGTAAAGAAGCCTAAGGTCGTCTTCCGGGTAGCCGCACCCGGCTCGGGGCTGGAAGAGGTAGCCGTGGTGCAACGATGGAAACGGACCTCCAACTGCAGCGGGACAGAGCCTCCAGTCTCTCGACCCACTTCCAGCTCCAGCCGCCACCTAAACGACAGTGAGCACTTTTTCAACGGGACTCCAGGGGCACTAGACAACTTCCTGTCTCCCGCTTCAGGAAGCGGTCCTTTTCTCAAAGGGGTCCCTTCCCTGCCTCCAGAGCGAGCCAATCAGGACACGCTCCAGGGGCCGAGTTTAGGAACGAAGCTTAAGAGGAACCCGAAATCCCAGCAGCAGTGGCTTCCGGGGATTATTAAAGCGAGAGCACCAAGCTCTGGGATGGGGCGTGGCGCCATGCGAGCTCGGCCTCTGTGAGCGCATGCGGCCGTCTGGGAAGCGTGGGCCTTGGTCATTGGGTCTTGAGGGCACGTGACTGCATTTTGCTTAAGCCCTGAGCGGGTAGTTAGTTGTGTTGGTAAAAAGAAATATTTGCTATGCCTCTGCATACCTAGAGCTGATAGAAATGGTGGGGAGGAGATAGATATGTTTCCGAAGTTCCCACATCAGGTGTCAGGGAAATTTTGTGTCCCCTCCCACTCCAAAATCAGGAAGAGCCCTGGCAACCGAGAGAAGCTTGTGTTTTATGGGTTTTAAAAAGGGAAATCGTAAGGAAACGGTATTGTTGCTGTTGTTAAATGCGGTCGAGTAGATACCGACAGTATCGAGTTTCCCAGGAACGGCTACTGAGCTTGAACCATCGACCTTGCGATTCAAACCCACCTTGCAGTTCAGTGCATGAACTCACAGCACCACACCAGGACTCGGAGGTAACGGTTTTGTTGTTGTTATGTGCCGTGGAGTCGGTCCCGACTCATAGCAATCCTGTACGGGCTTTCCGAGGCTGTAAATCTTTACAGCAGCAAAATGCCTTATCTTCCCGCCTCCCTCCCCCCCCGGAGAACAGCTGATATTTTCAAACTGCCGACCTTGGGGTTCGCAGCCCGATTCGAAACCACTACACTACCAGAGCTCCTTTAGGTAACGGTATAGTTGCCGTGTAATGGTCTGTGACAGTGAAAAACCGCACGGGGAAAATAGTTATCACCTTTGACACTGATGTCAATATTCAGAGACTTAATTGAGTATTGATACCCCGGAAGACGGAAGCAGAAATCTTCCAGATGTGTCTCCCAGAAGGAAAAGGATTTATCAGTGATTTAAACTGAACAGCCTCTCCTCGGAAATCCTATACAGGGTCGCTATGAGTCAGAACTGACTTGACAGCACTTAACAACAGTAGGGTTTTGGGGTGTAGGGGTAGACGCCTGAGGAATTTCAAAAACTTTTGTTGCTTTGTTTATATCAAGTCCCACTGGTCGTTCTGGACATGCTATCTCAAACAGGCACTGTTAGCTTTTTCTCAGGATGTCAGTGGTATTCATAAGAAATGTGTAGCTGTTTCCCTTCCTGGGAAGAAATTATCTCAAAAAAAAAAAAAAAAAGAACTATGACATTTAATATTTAATTAGGGAAGTGCTGCCTTCTAACTATAGTATAGCTAGCTATTTTGACTGTCAGGACTCCTGGTGTGGTGCTGTAAGATCAGCAATGGATTATGAACTACAAGGTCGCAAGTTCAAACTCACCAGCTGCTCCTTTAAAACCCTACTCAGGGTCCCTATGAGTTGGAACCAACTCTTCGGCACTTAATATTACGACTGCCTGGATCTCGTTTTACTTTGGCCAAGCTAAAACTTTCCTGGTACCCTTAGTTTCTTACTGTTCTAATTTCCCCCTTTTGTTGTTCATTTTTCAATCTTGGGAAACAGGATATTGCTTCTCTTTGGCTGCTTCCTCCTGAACAGGGGTGATGAGAAACTAGTGTAAATTGGCATAGTCAGGGAGAAGGGCCTGAGTTATGAAAACTAGAGACACCTTTTTTGATTAGTTGGCAGACATCATCTGTTCATGAAACAGAGGGAGTACTCTAGTAGGGCAAAAACTTTACTTGCTTGGGTAGTATTAACTGCTCTCTGAGTCACTATTTTTACTGACAGGGACAAACATGGTGAGCCTTTCAAAGCCTTTTTAGTAGACAGGGTTAGAAGATACTGTGTCAGATAAATTGTGTATAGCTACTTCCATTTGGTGGAAGCTTTGGTAGCGTTATGAGTTGGGCTGCTAATCTCAAAGTTAGCAGTTCGAAACTACCAGCCATTCTGCTGGAGAAAGATAAGGCTTTCTGCCCCTGTAAAGATTTACAGCTTCAGAAACCCTATAAAGAGTCACTAGGAGTCAGAACCAACTCCACAGCACCCCACCACCATTTCCACTTGATAAATTTATAGTCCCAGGATGGCAGTTTAGAGGAACCATTACCCAAATTCCCTTTCTTTTAAAATGGGGTTATATATTTTTCCTCCCTTTTTTTATCGTGATGTCACTCACATTTCCTTTTGCCTGGCTTTTGAACAGTGAGGGGTGAATTTGAGTAGGAAAAGTGATGGAACCCAGGATGCGTTTTTCTACAAAGGGCATTCTGGCCAGACACTGGCCCAAGTGTAGATGGACTCCTTGGGATGAGGGAGCCAATTTGAAGGATATGGCTTTCTACTATGTAAAAAAAGTATATCCTGGAGTTGCGCATAAGGACAGGTTTTTACTTAGAGTGTCTGGAAGATTGAGGTTCACTGACGTCAACCATGGGATTTGCAATGACTGAGTGTTGTCGTTAGGTGCCGTCGAGTCAGTTCCGACCCATAGCGACCCTGTATAGGGTTTCCGAGGAGCAGCTGGTGAACTTGAACCACCAACCTTGCAGTTCAAATGACTTTGCAGTCTGGCTCATTTACCCACAGTGCCACACCAGGACCTCAATGACTGAGTACAGGAGGGTGAGGCTACCCACTATTGGTGGGTATTTTAGGCAGTACTTCCCATCTTGAAGGAGTAACCAGATTCATGAGAGCTAAAAGAAGGAAATAGAAAACTAAGAAAAAGTATTGAGTTAATGGAGCACACTGGGTACTGGAAGGAGCTCTGGTAGCTTAGTGGTTACAAGTTGGGCTGCCAGCCACAAGGTCAGTGATTCGAAACTACCAGCGGTTCTGTGGGAGGAAGATGAGGCTTTTTGCTCCCATAAAGCTTTACAGCCTTGGAAACCCTGTACAGGGTCACTGTGAGTCGGAACCGACTCCATAGCACCATCACCACCACCACTGGGTACTGGTTGTTGTTAAGTGCCACGGAGTCGGTTCTGACTCATAGTGACCCTGCACAGGGTTTCCAGGGCCGTAAATCTTTACAGGAGCAGAATGCCTCATCTTTCTCCCATGGAACAGCTGGTAGTTTCGAACTGCTGACCTTGAGGTTGGCAGCCCAACTCGTAACCACTACGCTACCATAGCTGAGAGGCTGGTAAATGAGATTGAGGCCGGGGATTCCAGAATAATTAAACACTAAGCCCTAGGATTTTGGGCTGTCCCTAACCAGGGAAGGTGATGGTACATCCAACAATTTTTAATCCCCATCTCCCCTGCCTTTTGCTATGGCTTGAGAAATAGTAACTATCCCTTTAGAGGGCCAGTCCCAGCCATCTGGGATATGTGGCAGCTTCTGTGTTTCAATGATAAAAATTTTGGATTTTCCTCCCCCAAGCAATTTCTTCATCTTGGACTTGGGCTTTCTCATATTTAACACAATAGTTAAGTCTCAATGTCTAAGAGAAACAAATTCCTGAATTAACATGGAGAAGTCTTTGTTACAGCTTTGGGTGCTGTCAACAATGGGACCTTTTCTCCAGGTCCAAGAGTATCTTATATCCAAATGACATTTTCAGTAATACCTCCAGCCCCCGGGTCTTGCTTTACCCATTTAACTGGCCCCATAAAAATAAGGGATGACACCACACATGGGAGGGCTAGAGTATCTCTAACCCTCAGTTTACAGGACCAGAAGATGAGTGTTTCTTTTCCTAAATAGACTTTTTTTAAAAAACATGAAACAGGAATAACTAAAGAGCTAACAAACAAGCTATCTTATCTCTTAATAAATTTATACTTAAGTCCAATTATGGAGGTATAAATGAAGGAGTCAATACTTGATATCTTTTTTGTGGGTGCTGGCCCTTCTATACCTTAAATTGTATGAAGGCTGTGGAGAGAGGAGTGTCCTAGGGGGAAGACATTTAGAGAATAGTAAATAGTGATTAAGGTGGGACCAAGGAATCCTGGTGTGGTGTTGCAGGATAAAGAACTGGACCAAAAGGTCAGTTTGAACTACAAGGTTGGCAGTTCAAACCCACCAGCCACTCTTCAGGAACCCTGTACAGGGTTACTATTCGTTAGAACCTACTTGACAGCGCTTAACAACAACAAGGGCTGACAGTTACTCACATCCATGCTTCAGGAATGGGCTCTCATATCCTAATTCATAGGGTGCAGTTTCAGCCTGCTTCTAGGGGGAACTGTGATTCTGAGCAGAATGAAGGGAAGCACCTGACCCCAAGTGAGATTAGTCCCTTGGCAAGGTTTTTCCGGGGCCTTCTTTAGGGTGAGATTAGTCTTCTCATTTTGCCTACTTGATTGGGGTCTCTAGGAAATGTGCAGCTTTTATTTTACTGGTCAGTTCTTGAATCTCTAGGCAGTTGTTCTCTTGAGATCTTCAGGGGAGTACTTAGGTGTGAACATCTTTAGTCCAGTGTTACGTTTAGAGGCAGGATCTGCAAGGATGGGAACTGGGTAGTTTTGTTGGTGCAATGGTTCTCTTTGGCCTTCTGTGGTGGTTTTTAGTGATATGGGCTATACATGATCGTCACTGTAGCTAGCTCTTGATGGCTTTTAGTTTTTAGTAAGTGCAAAATTTCTGAGATGCATCTTCTCTCCTGCTGAGCCTCTTTTTCAAATGACCCTGCGTGCATGCAAGACAGAAGGAAAACCCTGGTTAAAGCTATTAGATCTGCCTTTCATACAGTCAAGCTAACCGTCTTTTTGCCATTCCATTTAACTGTTTTGAAAGGTAAGCTATAGACCTTTTTGGAAGTCACTTCAAGACTGGGTGAGTATTCTTAGTCCCAGGCTCTGCAATTCATGTACAAATAGGTTTTCAGGGCTTTCTTAAGTCAGGTAGTTCTAAGGCAGACACTACTATCATCTTGGAGTCCTGGTGTGGCTCTGTGGGTTACTACT